GCTGGTTTTTTTTTAATCCCCCCCTTTTTGATTGATTACATGTTTTAGCTACACTGGGTTCATTGATGATGCCTAATTAGCCATTGTTTAGATTAAATTTTAAGACATGCGTTGGATTACTTTATACTGTTTGGCATTTTATATTGGGTAATCACTGTTTTACATTGGATAGGGTGTGCTGTTACGTTAGTGTTTAGATTAATAGTTTTGCATGCTAATAATGGCTGATTCTTTTGATTGATCAGTTGTTTCAGTACGTTCTGTTCATGGGGATTGGCGAATCAGTTCTTGTTTAGATTGATTGTTTATACATGCGCTAGATTATGCGCTGGATTATTTTATGTCGTTTGGAGTTTTATACTGACTTGTTTAATGGGTAGCAGCTGGTTTTCTAATTAATCAGTTAAACACTATGCAGCATGCTGTCGTGTTCATGGGTGCTTGTTATTGACTACATGTTCATATCGTGTGCCAGTGATTTTGGTTTAAGATTATGAAAACAATGAATAGTTTTGAGGTTTGGATCATGCGTTACGCGTGACTAGCTTCAATGGAGGTTGTGTGTTCATAGTTTCTTTGCTCATTCTGTCACTGAGCCTGCCTATACATGTCTCTAGAATGGACCATTTGGTGGCTTGTTTACATTCTGTGATATTACTATTTGATATTTTACTAGACTTGATTCATGGATAATTATTATTTTTCTTGCTACATTTGTGTGTTCATAGTTTCTTTGCTCATTCTGTCACTGAGCCTGCCTATATATGTCTCTAGAATGGACCATTTGGTGGCTTGTTTACATTCTGTGATATTACTATTTGATATTTTACTAGACTTGATTCATGGATAATTATTATTTTTCTTGCTACATTTGGTCATATTAGCGGGTTTTCCGTAATATACTAGATTATTAGCGGGTTTTCCGTAATATACTAGATTAAATGTTTGTTAGATTATATTGCGTTCTTAACTCCGAATGCTCACGGGTATTGTCAATTTCAATCTAAAATATCACTACTATATTTTATATTGACAGATTTCATTCATAATAACTTATTTTATCAATGTTGGTCAGGTGGATTGGTCATAGTACACTATACTTACTGTTTAACTCAGATTATGTTGTTTTCTTACTGTTTAAATCAGATTATGTTGTTTTCTTAACTTGATTTTCACAGGTGCATCGAAGTTAATTTCATTATCAGCTACTTTATAGATTAGATGTTCCGGTTTAGGTTTAATTCCTTAATGGTCATAAATAATTATCAGATAAGATACACATTTTAGGTTGCCTGTTCTTAGTTATGTCAGAAACTAGGTTGGTTATCATTTAGGGTCTATGGCTTTTAAGCTACTTGATCTTTACCTGATTCCGCTGCACATAATTATATTCTGTTATGAACTTGCTTTGCATATGAACTTGTATTGACGAATTTATTTTCATTATCAGCTAGTTCGCTTAAATACATATTACTATTGAAGACGTGAACTAGTGCATAATATTCACTTTGATATCTTCTTATCGGGCGTGTGGTTTACTTTCTAATTTTGATTAAATATTCATATAATACTTGACCAGTTTTGAGGCAATTGTTGCTGGTTATGTTAAAAATTATGCTAGTTTCCGTCCAGTTCGGTTTATGTGTATTCACTATATACCTCCTACGAAATGCCTATTACTTAGTTTTTTTTTTGTTTTATTACTCTCTAGATTCTTTTTCCTTTCAATTTATCTACTATCAGATTTTATTTCACTAATGATTTCACAGGCTGAAACCTCATCTGTTGGCTCAACTAAATTATTTATGCTGTTTGTCCTCTAAGTTGGATTTTATTCATTTTAGTCGTGATATGCTTGATTCATTGTATGTTTATGTACTGCTTTCTATTCTCAGTGGATGCTTTAATATTTTAAGTCATGTGTATCCTAAGTTTCCTTTGATACCCTTGATCTTTTCTGAGTCCTTCTTCAATTTATTTTACCTAGTTAAATTTTAATTTCATTCTCTTTAAGAATTCAAGGCATTGCTAACTAAATTGAATATAAAAGTTACTTGGGATTATGTGTTATTTACTTATATCTGATTAGCTATATGGATTGCTTACATTGTTTCAGGACAAGAGCAGTGCAGAAGCTGATTGAAACTCTCAAAACCCAGCAGCAAATCAGGCTAGTTGTTTCAGCCCTTAAACCAGGTTTCCTCAATCTCATCAAAGATTTGAATGGAAATCACGTCGTCCAACGCTGCTTGCAATCTCTATCAGCTGAAGATAACTGCATGTTTGCTGGTGGATGATCTTGGATGTTTCTCAGTTGGATTCTCTGCTGCTGTCTTGTTTACTCATTATGTTCGTAAATATTGCTTAATGGACATTCATTTATGCCCATCTGATTTATGCACTTTACAATTTAAACAAGTGAGAAAAGAAAGAGCAACAAAAAAAAAGAACAATATTAACCAGCATGCAACTGTTAGAAACTTGTTGCTTACTGAAATGTTAACAAAGTATACATTTGAACTCTTCCCTTCGAGTTTGGCGATAATTCATGTATCAACTTGGTTCCTCTTTCAAATATTGATAAGCGACAATTATACATATGCTATCCAATTTTAGTTATTTTATCATTTAGTATGATCAAGTAGCCAATGTAAGATGTTTAACCTATCCTACTTATATTTGTAATATGAAATTCACGTTGTTATCCATGTTATTGTTTGTCCAGTTCATTTTTGATGCTGCTGCAAAGTATTGCGTTGATATTGCAACTCATCGACATGGATGTTGTGTCCTGCAACGCTGCATAACTTTTTCGACTGGAGAATACCGAGCACACTTGGTTAATGAGATTGCTGCTAACGGGCTGCTTCTGGCGCAAGATGCCTTTGGGTAAGTTTTTTATATATATTATAGATAACTTGATTGATTTTATATATACCACCGCAAGTTTGATGTCATTGATATATCCATTTCTTTTTCATTTAGTATAAAATTAGTTTCATTTTCCAGTATTACTGGAATAGGAATTATGGGATAGGTTGATATCTATTTGACTTTGTGCATCATATTAGAGCTTAAATAGTTAAAATTATTATTGCACTGTGCTGTATAGAGTATGATTATAATGTTTCTTCAGTATCCCCTTAAGCTGTACCGCCACTAGTATTCCACTATATAGATCCTCTAATCCTCTTCACTGAAAATATAGTTAGATTGTTAACGTATAATAACGCCTCTAATATGGTTGATCTCTCCGTGTGTATCATCATCCAGCTCTATTTGCCATTTCGTTTTCATTTATTTTATGCATTCATCACTTGCCATCTCGTAAGAAACAGATCTCAGCATTTATCTCACCAATGTCATATGTACAGTTAGGTCGTAATAAAACTGCGTGAAGGAAAAAAAGATAATTATGAACAATAACTTTCTAACGTCCATATTATCTTCAGTTATTCTATTATTAAATGGGGGAATGAACATAATGTTTTAGTAGCAGAGGTTATTTCTGTTAGTAATACCATTTTTCTTCTAGGTATAATGGGTTGCCCTTCTCAGGCTTAAGTTGTAGCAGTAGGTATACCAAATTTGCTGATCTTAAAAATATTCCCCGACAAGCATAATATTCTATGAGTTTCTTTGGCTTGTATAGCTTGTAGAAGGGATATGTGCTAGTGTGTGTGTGCTGGCCGTATAACACAGAGATATGGAAAAACACGCGCAAAGATTTGCTACATGGAAAGCTCAAAAATACTTGTGGCCGATACAAGCCTTTCATTAAATCCTGTGAACTTATAGCACATTAGTAAATGAGAAACAGTACGTTTTTTTTAATGTCTTATACATATGGATCTACCGATTCAATTTGATATATATTTCAAAACTGTTACTTTTGCTCAATGTTACAGCAAGCGCTAGGCACCACTAGGCGCTGACCCGACGCCTAGCGCCTAGGCCCTAGACGGCCGCCTAGGGCGGTCTAGACGAATATCTTTTTTGTTTAACTGGAGGTGGAGGGGATTTTCCTTAGGTTGGAGAAGGTGGAGGGTTGATGGAGGAGGCCAGGGAGGTAGGTGGAGGTGGGTGGCAGTGGAGGACATTAAATAACAGTTAAGCTTTGTGTTCTACATAATTGCTCATGCTTCCCTAGGTTCTCTCAAGACCTAGGCGGGCGGCCTAAGTACTGCTTGGGCCTAGGCGGAAGCCTTGATGGCTTTTAAAACTATGCTTTGCTGCTACCCAATGCACAACAGAGGATGACGATGACCATATTCTTAGAATAGTAATTGATCATGTATTTGGTAGATACAGAAATCTCTAACATTTGTAGCAACTATATTGCTCAAAAGACAGAATTTTGCTGTGTAGAAAAGTAGAATTGTCACCTTTATCGTGACTTCTATTTGTTTTAGAAATAGTCTGTCCACCATTATTTAATTCTTTGCTTGCTCCATATGATTTATGGCTGTCTGAAAGAGGCCCGGATTAACAACTTGTGAAGTATCCCAGATCCTTTACTAGAGACTACCCTCCCTCTTGCTTGAGGGACACATTCCTTTCTATAAATATATTATGAATGTAAGAGACCAAATAACACAACCAAGGTTGTGGAAAGCGGAGCGAAGCGCCTGAGACACCGCCTAGGCTTTTTGGGGCTTATCAAAGTAGAAAAAGCACCAAGGAAAAAAACGGTTTAAATCTTATTAAATCTTAAATATGGATAAAATTCCAAAAAATTTTAAGAAAAATCTAAACATTATAAAACAAACAAAAAATAAGAACATGTAGGAAACAAATTCTATAAATAACATATTTGATCGATGATATTAAATGCATACCTATTAAATATAATACCTATTAAATACATATTTATTAACTACAATCATCATTATATTGGTCCAAGTTTCTTCCAAACTTTTAAGTAGAATTCTTTTAGGAAAGGGGAATAAAAATCCATGTAAATGTGAAGAAAAAAGATTCACATAAAGTGGTTCAACCTCCTAACACTAGTGCTTGAGCCGCTTTTCGACCGATTTTGGATTGCCTTTTGATGGGTTTGGACCGCTTTTAGGCCGCTTCGGGTTGTGTTTAGGCCACTTTCGTCTCAAAAGCGCTTTATGGCCTCTCTTAGGCCTTACCAAAGCCGCAAGGAGCTGCTATCTCTTTTTTGAGCGCTTTTTCCTGCTTTTTACAAAAATGAACACAACCTTGCTTGGGTTAAGGGGTTCTCTCTAGAGCAACATCAATATCCGGATTCAGATTTTTTTTGGTGATGAGGAACCATGGTCAATCAGGCATGAATAACTAGGTCTAGGATTCGAGCACTCCCAACGATAGAAGGGCGAGTTTCAGAGTCTAAGCTCTCCCACCACAAAGGAGCACGCGGTACTACCGACAGCACACCCTCACATACTTGTGGACACCTGTGGGGTCTTATAAGTCCATCCCAATACAATTTGGAGGGCCCGAGTCCCACCCCAATACCATGTCTGCTTGAATTATACAAGTGAAACCCTGAAGCCGTTGGGCCCCCCTATGCTACCCAGGGCTCTTGTAAGTAGCAAGGGCAAAACAATACTCACTGGATAAATACTGGGGACACGGGTGACATAGACCTCTGTTGATCCTTGTACCTCTTAGTCGAAGTCCCCGACACCTAATCATTGGCCACCCGCGAGGTGTCCAGACAGATATGGATCGGGCAAAAGTTCAATTAAGGAGAACCATATTCATATTGTAATTAACTTTAGTACTGAAATGTCGACTTATTCGGAAACTTCAATTCTGAACTGAAATTAGTCTATTCAGTACCAAACTAATATAGGTATACATGCAGATGCATATGTATAAATCGACATAACGACTTCTTCATGGTTCCATTAGTTTACTCTACTTGCTTAATGTATTTGTTTTATATTTGTCATGCATCCAATGAGCATACCCCTATTATTCCACGTTTCAGGAACAGAAATAACCCCACACACCTGTTTGCTTTCCACATGATCCACGCACCTTGTGTATGGCCTGGCTCTTTTCCTATTGTCGCATTCTTAGTAATTGAAAAGATAGCACAAAGAGTAGTGACTTCATGAATCCAATGAAATAATAATAATAATAACGTGAGGATGTGGTAGAAACTGAATCAACTTCATGGTAAATTTTCTAAAAGTTAGGGCATATGGACACAGATTACAATATTGTGGTAGAAACTGAATCAACACATAGAAAAGTAGCTTTTAGCCGTCTCCAGAATTACATGCCCTTAGAAAGGCTAGTTCATAAAAGTTGCATAAATATCTATAGTGAAGACTTTTGCCAACTCCATTTAAACATACTAGTCAATGAGTAGGTTGCAACCAAAACTTGCTAAATCTCATGGATCTAACTAGATAAATATTGTTGCAGTATCAATCTGAAATATAAAGCTTGAAAGGTCTTTTGCCAACTCCATCTGAACATAATATAATAACAGCCACTTTTCAGTTGTCTTGAACATTTGATCTAAGTTTTTGAAATTATTTGAAACTTGTGGTCTGGCTGGGTATTTCGTTGACAAAATTCATTCATGTATCTAAAATGCAAAAAAGTTATATCATTCTTCACATTTTATTACTTCTTTAACTATTCTTATAAAATAGTAAATGAAAGTCTTTTTATACAAATCAATTTTATATTGTGTTGCATATTGCTACCTTACTGATTTTTCTTTTTACCTCATTTTAGTCTCTGCATTTCTATGACAAAATAATAACACTTCAAAGGGTTTTTCTGCTGCCTTTGCTCTAGCTAAATCGAACTGAGGCACCGAATACTTCGCAAAACCCATCAACTATGTTTACGACTTCCTTTCAATAAACCTTTAATTCTTCATTTTATAAACTGTTTTAGATTTTTCCAGACTGATCCTTGCTTCTTTTTTATTTAAAAGCAAATATATTTCGTTTGGAAAGAAACGGAGAATTCCTACTTGTTTCATTGAAAAGAAATGAATGGAACTTGTAAGGGAGATCCATGGATGTCATAGGTCCACCAAAAGCGAAGTGTTATAGTTATCATATACCTCATCAATAGTGTAGATCCATGTCAAGTTCAACACAAAACTGTTGCAAAAAATAAGGGGCGAGGAAGCAGAATGCAATTAGTAACTAGTAAGTATAACTTTTACCCTTTGGTTTAGAGTAACTACCTCCTGTAACCTGATATATACCGCTGTTATCTATCTACATCCCTATGTAGTTTCTCCAACCTTAAGGTTTGCAGCTTTTAAGATGCACTTCCTAACTCTATCGCTAGTATAAGGTTCCTACCTGCATAATTTCTGGCTTCAGTAATGTAGAGAGAGGTCATCAATTTAGCACTTCACTCTTCGTGATAGCACAAGCGTCAAATAGCACTGATCAGGAGAAGTGTGAACCTGTTTTCTATTCACTCCTTCAAGGATATCCATCTCAGATCACATTCAATTAGCGATAAGTGGGTAACACAAGTGGGAATTTTATTTTTAATGAACTGATAAGGTTATTATATATGTTGTGATGTTCATAGATATCAAGCTATTTTCACAACAATATCCACTTGCCATTTGTCTAGTATAATATGTTTTTGTTTATGTTTCAGAAATTATGTTGTTCAATTTATTCTTGACCTGAAGAACCCATCAGCGGCATCAAACTTGGCATCTCAGTTTGAAGGCAACTATGTGCACCTCTCCACTCAAAAATTCAGTAGTAACGTGGTGGAGAAATGCCTCAAGCTTTTCACCGACAATGCTCAAGCAAGGATAGTAATTGAACTCCTTTCAGTTAATCGGTTCGAGATGTTGCTGCAAGATCCTTATGCCAATTATGTTATCCAGTCTGCTTTGGCACACACCAAGGTCCCTTGTCTCAATATTCACACCCAATAAACGAGTCTAAAAATTCTATACAAATTTTTTGATATTGATATTTCCTTTTGCAGGGTCCTCTCAATGTTGCTTTGGTCAATGCTATTCGCCCCCATGCTGCCATCCTTCGAACCAGCCCATACTGCAAGAGGATCTTCTCTCGTACCCAGCTAAGGAAGTGAGTGTAAATTCTTGTGTCAAGAAGAAGCCTCTGTTGTTGTCTCCAATCTCTTTTAGTACATTAGTTCAGAACTTCGGCGCGTTGGAATGAGATTCCATTTGTACGTCTTCTGGCAGTTCTATATGCATGTAGCTTTCGATGTTGTAGGGTACGTGTAAAATAAGCTATCTCGCTTGGGCTTAATTTAGGTGTTTGTGTGGGGGTCGTAGGCAGTCTATGTATTATTCTATGTTGTTTTCTAGATGATGATCTAAACTTATAAACTTCTCCTGTTGTCAAAACAATTGCTTGGATGCAATGGTGAGGTGTAATAACGGTACCTTAGCTTTCTGCTACTGAAATGGTTATGAATTTTGTTGTATCCCTTTCTTTTTGTAGAATGAACTTTGTGTTGGGCATGCTACTCTTGTGAGTTTTATATATTATTGAGTGGTGTTAGGGGCACACCCCAAACCACACCTCCAACCACACCTCCTCCTCTCATTCGCTACAGTACTTCGGGCCCCACGTGAGTTTTTAAATTTTAAAAACTCATGTGGGGCCCGGAGTACTGTAGCGAATGAGAGGGGGAGGTGTGGTTGGAGGTGTGACTAACTTTTCTAATTTTGTAGCTGTGTGAAATTTTTCACTTCTCGGTGGATATTTGGAAAGGCGGGCTACTCTGTCCTGTCCCTGTGCTAATGTTCAGTGGTTGAGCAGCGTCAATGCTCAACATTCTTTAGGGATTTCTAAGTATTGATACTGTCATTTTGGAGTGATTTTGCTTTACGCGACCCCCCTAAGCAAAATGTGTCAGTTTTCACAGTTAAAGAAGATGCTTAAACAAACAAGGTAAAAATAGAAGGGAAAAAAAATTATCTGTGAAGTCCGTATACTGATAACTTTTCATGGTTTTCTTTGCAAAAAAACGCAGCCAAACTGCCCCTTATTGCTAATATAACCTTGTTAAAAACTTTGTGAAAAATCTTTTGCTGGGCTTTGGGATCTTTTGTTTGTTATATTCGGTCCCTCTTTTGGGGCACGTTGAATTCAGTAGTAACGTGGTGGAGAAATGCCTCAAGCTTTTCACCGACAATGCTCAAGCAAGGATAGTAATTGAACTCCTTTCAGTTAATCGGTTCGAGATGTTGCTGCAAGATCCTTATGCCAATTATGTTATCCAGTCTGCTTTGGCACACACCAAGGTCCCTTGTCTCAATATTCACACCCAATAAACGAGTCTAAAAATTCTATACAAATTTTTTGATATTGATATTTCCTTTTGCAGGGTCCTCTCAATGTTGCTTTGGTCAATGCTATTCGCCCCCATGCTGCCATCCTTCGAACCAGCCCATACTGCAAGAGGATCTTCTCTCGTACCCAGCTAAGGAAGTGAGTGTAAATTCTTGTGTCAAGAAGAAGCCTCTGTTGTTGTCTCCAATCTCTTTTAGTACATTAGTTCAGAACTTCGGCGCGTTGGAATGAGATTCCATTTGTACGTCTTCTGGCAGTTCTATATGCATGTAGCTTTCGATGTTGTAGGGTACGTGTAAAATAAGCTATCTCGCTTGGGCTTAATTTAGGTGTTTGTGTGGGGGTCGTAGGCAGTCTATGTATTATTCTATGTTGTTTTCTAGATGATGATCTAAACTTATAAACTTCTCCTGTTGTCAAAACAATTGCTTGGATGCAATGGTGAGGTGTAATAACGGTACCTTAGCTTTCTGCTACTGAAATGGTTATGAATTTTGTTGTATCCCTTTCTTTTTGTAGAATGAACTTTGTGTTGGGCATGCTACTCTTGTGAGTTTTATATATTATTGAGTGGTGTTAGGGGCACACCCCAAACCACACCTCCAACCACACCTCCTCCTCTCATTCGCTACAGTACTTCGGGCCCCACGTGAGTTTTTAAATTTTAAAAACTCATGTGGGGCCCGGAGTACTGTAGCGAATGAGAGGGGGAGGTGTGGTTGGAGGTGTGACTAACTTTTCTAATTTTGTAGCTGTGTGAAATTTTTCACTTCTCGGTGGATATTTGGAAAGGCGGGCTACTCTGTCCTGTCCCTGTGCTAATGTTCAGTGGTTGAGCAGCGTCAATGCTCAACATTCTTTAGGGATTTCTAAGTATTGATACTGTCATTTTGGAGTGATTTTGCTTTACGCGACCCCCCTAAGCAAAATGTGTCAGTTTTCACAGTTAAAGAAGATGCTTAAACAAACAAGGTAAAAATAGAAGGGAAAAAAAATTATCTGTGAAGTCCGTATACTGATAACTTTTCATGGTTTTCTTTGCAAAAAAACGCAGCCAAACTGCCCCTTATTGCTAATATAACCTTGTTAAAAACTTTGTGAAAAATCTTTTGCTGGGCTTTGGGATCTTTTGTTTGTTATATTCGGTCCCTCTTTTGGGGCACGTTGCCCATATGATGCACGGTTAAATTTCACATGGTTAAATAATGACTTCAGTTCGTCTAAAAACGATACAGAACAATTCACAACCATCGTTGACCCCATCATATCATGCACTCAAAAGTCTGTTGGAAGTAATTTGTAATTCCCTAGAACACTTCACAGTAATATTGTAATATGGAAAGTTTCTAGAAATAACTAGGACTAGAAATATGACAAAAATAAGATGTATCTACTATATAGGAATATTATACGATACTCTAGAATGTTTCGTGTAAAATATCTACGCTCTAGATAGTTCTATATGTACCTATAAATAGGCAATGGATGTAAGCATTGTAAACAAGCTTTGAAGCGATTAAAACAAAGTTTTTTTTCTCCAGACGAGCCTCTTTCCGTCTTAACTTTTCATTTCCCTTCTAATTCCTTCATTCTCAATCCCGCAAAACTAAAATCAACTACCCATCAAGCTTCCGCAACTCCAACAACATCTAAATCAGAAAAAAAGTAAAAATGGTTATCTTACACAATCCTGCAACATCAAAGCCGATAGAATCACCATAATTCTTGTCAACTCCCTGTGAATGTATTTTAGTTGGGTTTGAGAGACAACGGTCCGGGTTAGTTCAAATGGCTTCAACATGAGGCCAGGTAGTATCAAGAATGAAGAGTAACAACAAGTCTTTAACACATATTTTCTCTATCTTTACATTAATATAAATAAAAAATTGTTGGTTTACAATAATTTTCTAAGACATAATTATATATGATTAAAATATTATTAATACGGTTAAACTGACTCATTAAATGTGATTAAAATATCATTAGTACAGCTAAATCGACTTAATTATTATATATGATTAAAATATTATTAATACAGTTAATTTGATTATCTAGGCAACGGATCCATCTTTTTTATCTTCTTAATTAGGAAGAGCTTAATTTATCCTTCTTTCTATATCAAAGCATGTTCTCATTTTGATGTACTTTGATATGACCAATTTTTTCTGTGAATAACATGTGGAAATTTAGCCAAATATATGATAGTGCTTTTTTGAGTTTTTGGGGGTAAAAAGTCAAACATATACATAGAAATAACAAACCAGGTACTTCACAGTCATCATCCAGAATGCGATAGACAACCAATATCCTAAAGACAACAAAATTTTGACGTTGTCGAATATTATTGTTTATATCAATACAATCCTGCTTTACAAGTTTTCCTGTTGTCTATGATTAAAATATTCAATACTTTGACCTTTTATATTATTTTCCAAATGAGCTCCCCTGCATATTACTTTTCCTTGTCATGTAGCATGAGCTGATAATTTCATACTAAATGTATTCAAGTCACATATATTTCTGATGTGTCATTAGGAAGCATTAAACATTTTTAGCAAAATAAGTTTTGCGATTTTAGTCAAGTCATGTAACGCCCATACGTGTGTCTGTTGCTCCCATGTAATCCATCCCCATATTTTCATCTCAAAATGTTTCATAACAAACCTCTAACTATTCATGACTCTTGCTAAGGGCCTGTTTGTTTCGCATAAAATTGAGCTGAAAGTGAAGGAAATGCCCGATTTGAAAACTAACGCTGAAAATTCTATCAGTTTTTTTCATTTCCGGCTGTTTGTTTCGTTTTGGGCGGCGAAAGAAAAGGGAGCTGAAAGTGGTGATTTGCGGAAAGTTTTTTTCCGTCCCCAAAACGCCGATTTTGGTGGAAAGTGATTAAAGCTCTTTTTCCCCCTATCCTTTCACCCTAGGGTTCTGATCATCGCGCCGTTCCTTCCCTCCATTTTCTCCCGCCTCCTGCTCTCGCTTCCACCCCGATTTCCCACATCAACTTCGCACTGCTTCCTCTTCCTCCAGCTCTCGTTCTCACTTCTTGATGCCATTCTCCTGTGCAAGCGAGCTCGATCTTCATCTGTTTTGAGCTCTTGCGATCTTGAGATCGCTGTTCTTGAGATCTTGCGGTTGATTTGGGGATTTGAAAGAAGGTCGTTGTTCTTGAGATCTTGCGGTTGATTTGGGGATTTGAAAGAAGGTCGTTGTTCTTAAGATCTTGCGTGCTACTCAGGTAAAAAAAACCTTAAACGCATTTTGTTCTTGAGATCTTCAGCTCTTGCTCCGATTTGAGCACTGTTTTTTGCTCCGATTTTGAGCTCTGACATGTGGATTTTCATGGTCTGTTTGAGCTTTGATCTGTTTGAGCTCCGATTTTGGGCATTAATTTTATTTAACTTAATATATATGCTCCGATTTTGGGCATTGGACCGAGAAGTTGGAAAAAGCTATATTTGCACATGATGAATTTGACATAAAAATTCTTGATAAGTTTTATCAACAATTGCGAGAATGAATCACAAGCTAGGTTGTTTATGGGGAAGCCAACTATTATGCAAAAGAAGTCGTTGACTGAGTTCATGAAGAGTCAACCTCTTGATTAGAATGTTGGCCTTTGGTTGGATTGCGATGCTTTTGGGATATTTTTGCGAAACTAGCTAATTATAACAATGCGTGTATAATTATTTTTGTATGTAAACGAGCGTAATTATTTTTGGATGTTCATGTTGCTAGATGATTGCTCATCATTTTGCCTAACAACTATGGTGCATGTATTAAACTTACATTAGTACAAAACTAATGCTACTACCTCTATTTTCATGCATCTCAGTCATGGCTTTACATGTTAAATTATAAACTTGGTATGCTAATGCAAACTTGTTTGATAGGTTTACAAGTGCGGTTCTATAATGATTTCCCCTCGATGAATTAAAGTTAAAGAGGTATGTATTTTTTGTGTTATGATGATGGGCTTCATTGTTGAAGATATGCAGCTAAAGTTTATACTAGTAATCAATTGGCGAGGCAGCATATGCAGCCAACATTGCTATTATAAACTGCATGGCGAGGCATATAATGAAGAAAAGAGCCTTTTCTGAGCATATTTTCTATAATTTCTTTTGAGCTTTGGTTTGATTTCCATCTTGGCTTGTTTGGCCCTTTTGAGCTTAGTTTTTGTGGTTTCCTTTGCTACCTGACATGTTGCAATTGGTGTTTGTTTGGCCTCATGTTGCTTGGCCTTTGGACCCTAAATTGTTGTGTTGGCCTTTGGTCTTTGGTTGTGTTGGCCTTTGGTCTTTGGTTGTGTTGGCATGTGGTTGGTCTTTGGCACAGCTTGGCCTTTGTTTCAGTTTTTCATTTTGTGGTTTCAGTTTGTGCTTTCCTTGGTTATAGATTCTTGTTGCTTGGCCCTTGGACCCTAAATTGTTGTGTTGGCCTTTGGTCAGCCTGGATTTGGTGTGTGGTTGGTCTTTGGCATTTGGTTGTGTTGGCCTTTGGTCTTTGGTTGTGTTGGCATGTGGTTGGTCTTTGGCACAGCTTGGCCTTTATTTCAGTTGTGTTTTTTGTGGTTTCAGTTTGTGATTTCCTTGGTTGCAGCCCCTTGTTGCTTGGCCCTTGGACCCTAAATTGTTGTGTTGGCCTTTGGTTGGCCTTTGGTCAGCCTGGATTTGGTGTGTGTTGTTTTCATTTGTGCTTTTTGTGGTTTCCTTTGTCTACCTGACATGTTGCAATTGGTGTTTGTTTGGCCTCATGTTGCTTGGCCTTTGGTCAGCATGGTTGTGTCGGCCTTTGGTTTCAGCTCTTAGTTGTGTTGGTTTGCTGTGCCAAATGTTGGTTGTTTGGCCTTTGGTCTTTGGTTGTGTTGGCCTTTGGCACAGCTCGCCCTTTGTTGCAATGGTTTCAGTTCTTGCTTGTCCTTTGGTTGGTCAGCTATGGTTGGCCTTCGGATTTAGTTGATGCTTGGTCTTTATAATGGATTTTGTGCAGGTTTATTGTACTCTCTGCCTTGGTTCCAGCTCTTGGTACTATTATGTGTTGTTGGTCAGCTATGGTTAGCCTTTGGTTTCATGTTGATGCTTGGCCTTTGTTTTAATTTTGTGCATGGTTTCAACCTGCTCTCGGCCTTAGTTTCAGCTCTTGGTTGGCCTTTGGTTGGTATGCATATTTTGTGTTATGATGATGGGCTATATTTAAGATATGCAGCCAAAGTTTATAGCAACAATATATTGGCGAAGCAATATATTGCAACCAACATTGCTATTTATAAACTTTATGGCATTGCAGATAATGAAAAAATGGCCTTTTCTGAGCACAACTATGATGATGGGTGGTAATCTTACCATGGTGACCACAATCAAGTTTTCTTGGTTTTTTAGTTTGAACCAAACACTAGAAAATGAGGGAATCTATTCACACATCAATTATTTTCTTCTTTTTTCAAGTTGAACCAAACACTAGAAAATGATGTAAAGTATTTTCACTACATATTTTTGGGCGAAACAAACACAGGAAACATTTTTCAGGAAAGTGAAGGAAACACAAGAAAGTGAAGGAAATTCATCTATGGAAAGTGAAGGAAACGAACCAAACAGGCCCTAACATGAAAGTGCTTCGGTTGAAATGTACTATCTCCCTTTCAACAAGCTGATTGTTAAATTACTGTTATCCCATCACAGGCAATTCTCTCACCAAGTCCTCGTTCAAATAACGGTCAAGGGAAATGCAGACTCAACCGAGACATTTTGGTATTTGACAGGAAGCCCATGACACAAACATACATGAAGTTTTGATCCAGCCTGCTGATATAATACAGTCCACACTAGATAAAGAGAGTCTAAAACAACATGAACAAACTCAATTTCACTCCACAGGGGAAGACATGCACTCTCAACTATTTATTCTCTCATTTCACAATGTACTACATGATTCACGAAGCGACCACTCAATGATATTAACTCTGAAGGTAATGAGCACGATAACAACGTTCAAGCTTCCTCATGACCAAGAAGAGCCAAAAGCATGGACTTATAATCTCCAGAAGTTTCGCCTGAAACAGCATGATCCATAGCAACGCTATTTCTCTGCTGGTAAACATCCTTTATCTCTTGAAGATCCACCTCTGCTCGAGTGGTTATGACACGAGTAAGGGCATACTCATCCGTTCCTAGCTTGTTTATTGCAAAGCGGACCACCTTCTCAAAGTACTTTGCAGGGCAAGTGAAACAGCGAATTGTTGCCCTCAGAGCAGCCAGATACTCATCTTTAGGATCAGATTTCAAATCCTGAAAAAGATAATTCCGAATTTAGGAGTAAATTCTAATTTTTCTATCGCAGTTGAAATATTTATTGTGAAATTAAGGCGGGAAAATTAGACACTTGAACACTATTTTGTCATTATAGAAATTTATTTAATCAGACGAGTCTATGACATAGTTTGTTGGTTTATAATAGCAAGAGTTTCAGATTCAAGAATGTTAATATGGATGCTTCAAACACCTGATTGAAGCTTGAAATTGTGGTTTTTACCAAAAATTATTCAATTCAGTTAACATCTTTTGTTTTGGTAATCTATCATTCATCTACTGGCATCCTTGATCACTTAAAAGTAATTGCACTATGGTGAAAAATAGAAAACCATCTTTTCCCGGTAATCTAATGTCAACCCACTGGCCTCCCTGATGACCTAAAGTAATTGCACTATGGTGGGGGGGAAACAACTTTTTTGCCAAATGAGCTAATTGTACTGCATACGAATTCAAAGATGAACGTATCATTTAAAATCAACAGCCTTCTAGCAGCAGTTGAAATCATGCTCACAGATTAATGTTTCTGAAATGTAGAAAATACCACAACATTTTCCTCCAAGGACTATGCTAGAATGCAAATATAAAATACTTTTTGCACATGCTATATATTTTGGCATTCTATCAAAGACACTGTTATAGTGTGAATTAAACTCAGAGCTCCTATAGTAGGTTTATAAGAATAAAAGGCAGGGAGCACAACAGAAATGCATGTAGCTTATACCTTGTTGATTGGATGACCAAACTGGTCATTGTAGTGATTGAAAGTTGCAAGCAGTTGGGCCTTGCTTCTGGTAGTAATAATCCTGATAAGCTCTTCATCGTTGTAACCCTTGTCAGAAATCTTTTCATGCAATATTTTGGCCTCTGACTTCGCAAGTGTCTTGTTAACCTCTTCACCCTCATAGCGGAAGGCACTAACAAGTGGAACCAAAAGCTAGAGAATGGAAATAGAACGAGTAAATGTTACAAACTCATCATACAAATTCATATATGACCAGTACTTCAAATTTTAAATTATATCATACAACTGAAATTTACCATCTCAAGGGTAAAGGATGAATCAGAGACATTAGATGAAAGTAAATGCCTAAGCTTCTGAAAAATGTGCACATGATTCCCTACATTAAGAACACAAAAAGGCGTATGTACTTCATTTTACACACGAGGATCATCCCATGATATGTCTAGATGAGATAAATGCTCCATAGTGTCAGGGGCGGATCCACCATGGACCAAGTGGTGTCATATGACACCACTTTGCTCCAAGGCCCCAACTTATGCAAAGATTAGGATTATAATATACTGAAGATGTCACTGTATTACTGAAAGATGTCGCTTAGTTTTGTGGGATATAGTGATTGTAGTATTGTGTTTTTTTCGTAAGTTCTGATCTGACGATATTTTATTAAAAAATTTGTATAACTGATGAATTACAATATAAAATCGGATGTTAAACCGCAGACTTTGCTCCAAGCTGCGATTATATTACTAATAAACTATGAGATTGGGATTCAATTGTATGATTATAAATTTTTGTAATTGTTAATTATGAAGCGACAACACTTTCCAGACATCTGGATCCGCCAATGTATAGTGTGGGCATTAGAATCAGGACTATCTGGTTTCAAAGCTTTTGATATTCTCTTGAAGATACACATCTGTGATCACCAATTGGCTCTCAATTGATGCAAGACCACCTCCTGTAAAGAAATTGAAAGATATACAGAGGTCTGAAATTGAGAACTTGTCAGATATCCTATGGAGCCTTCTTAACTGGGAGGTTAAATCATGAGCCAAGGTACATCACAGAAATGCTTACAAAATTAAATGATGACGAATACTCACAACTCCTTCAACAGGCTTCTCAGATGTACCATACTCTAGCTCTTGGAATAGTTCTGATCCATGATATTGATTATGTTCCCTTCATTTATTTGGCATCCATCTTCAGCTGGGTTGGCTACTGGGACTAACATGTCTACCTTTTTTTTTAGAATGGATAAAGCAGGCATCAACAAAGCTAGCAGTTTTAGGGAAAAGACTTACAGCTATTACATTTAAAAGAAGTTACACTTAAAAGTAGTAGAACAATCTAACCACTCAAACTTTGTGCCTACATACATGTACATTAATATTATATAAGAATTCTAATCTGCTCTAAGCCATTCCTTAATATGCAGGTCAGTAAAGCTACAAAATTTATCTACTTCTTGTATGTATTTGTGCCCTTGAAAGAACAAAAATAACAATTTAGAACAGAAAAAGTTATTGTTGGTAGAACAAAGCTTACTAAGATTAAACTCAATTATAAGAGCAGGGATTTTATATACCTTGCGGAAGTCCCCAGTGGTGTGGGCAGCAACATCCTCCTCAAGGGATCTCTTGTAGCGAGCATGGTATGCCTGCCTTGCTGCGAACAGCTGCCCCGAGCTCCTAGCACAAGCTACCTCAATCAGAACACGGTTACTTGGGTTCCACTTCCTTGCTGCCTCATTCGCCAAAAATGCATCCCTTTCTGCGGGATGAAAGGTCCACAGAAGCACGATTCTCTGCTCTCGACACGATTAGGAGCAGTATGATTAGTTGTTTAAGATTCATAATCCAGAAAAGTCATTAGAAAAAGGGAATTTTCGTTTATTTTCTGCATCTTTAGGCTTCAGTTTAAGTAAGCGGAGTTACAGAACCGATGATTCCAGCGGCTGCGATGATCCATGAAGTCAATTACTCCCCGATCTACCCGGAATTATAATTCATCCAGGATCACTTATTAGAAGCTACAACCTTACCCGCCAAACACTAGTTTATCTTGATCCATAATGGGTCTCCAAGCAATAAATAAAACACTAGTTTATTTTGATCTGATCAGATACAGATAAAATTGAAAATTAACCCCTTTTATAAACGCTTAGGCTCCAAATCTACGATCATCCAGCAATTACTTCAAAATTTACCGATCCATAATAAAAAAAACACCAGACTAGAGGATCGAAAGCTACCTCAAAATCGCCGGAGATCTCCTTGTCCAAGGACGTGAACAGCTCCTCGCCGAACAACTCCTTGTACACTCGCCGTATTTCCATACGCTGGGACGCCGTACGATGCCCTAGGATCGATACGATAGTCTTCTCGTCCGTTCCCCATCCTAAACAAAAACAATGCGATCGATCCAAAATTAGGAAAAAAAAATAACAAAAATTGAAGAGAGTGCTAAAACCCGAACCCTAGAGATTTCATTACCGACGAAGGCTTTTCGGAGTCTATCGGCGTCCTCGAGCGGAGATGGAACGGAGCTGGGGACTTTTAGGGTCGCCATTTTCTCCCCAACTTTTTTTTTTTTTGGCAGGAGGAGTGAAGTGATGCTTTCAGAGAGGAAGTAGGAGGGGGGTTTATATGGAAGGGGGCGGAGAATTTTGCGTGTACGTCCCTTGTAATTTGTGTTTGAGCAGAATAGTGTTCGGCTCGTATTTAGTTATTAGAAAATGATAGAGGCACACCCTCAACCACACCTCTAACCACACCCTCTCTCTCATTTGCTACAGTATACCGGGCCCCACATGTGAATTTAAATTTTTAAATTCACATGTGGGGCCCGGTATACTGTAGCAAATGAGAGAGGGGGTGTGGTTGGAGGTGTGGCTAGAGGTGTGCCCATAGTGCCACCTTTAGTTATTTGCACTTTGCTTTATATGGTATGATTTTCCTTTTTATTTATTTATTAATCTCTCTCTCTCTTCATGATTTGAATTCTTTTAACTTTTTAAACATATTAAGTCCTTAAGTATAGGCTAGGATTGATCCATAATGGGAGATGGTCCGCTCCTAATTATCTAGTTAAGTTATCAGAGGGGAAAATGAATTAGCTTTTTAACAAATTTAGTATCCACAAATCCAATTAAGAACTTGCCAAACAGAACCTTAATATCTAATCAATAAGAGATAGGGGTGTCCAAAAAGCCCGGAGCCCGGGCCCGGCCCGGTGTCCGGCCCGGGCCCGGCCCGGTCGGGCCCGGGCCCGGGCACGACCGGGCCCGGCCCGGGCCCGGAACAGTGCCGAAAAAAGGCACTGTGGCTTCGAATGGCCGGCCCGGCCCGGCCCGGCCCGGCCATAACGGTCACAAACGTGACCTTTGCCCCTTAAAACGGTCAAAAAACGGCTATTTTTCGAGGGTTTTTTGGTCATTTACCTAGGGGGCTGCTTCTATAAATAGAGGGGGGGTTTCAATTCATTTTCTCACAACAAAACTCATCTATTTCTCTCTCTACTACTCTCTTATACAATCTTATACTATCTCATACTAATATACTATCCTATAATCTTTTGTATTTTCTAATACTTCCAACAAATGGCTTCTGGGTCTGATTATGAAGAGCAACATGCAACTCCTACCGATCCAGAGATGAGTCCTCCTACAACAACTCCTCATCCTACCGGTGTTAATCCTGAATCTGGTGGCGACGAATCTACGGCACCAAGAGCTCCAAAAAGGCCGAGGTCTGATGTATGGAATTTTTTTGAGAAGATAGACGTCACCAAGGATGAACACGGTAGGATCATCTCTCAGAATGCGAAATGTGCGTTGTGCGGCCAGATATTCAAAGCTCATCATAAGAGCGGCACCAACCATCTCAAACGGCATATTGAAAAACACAACAAAGGCCAAAATCTACAAGGTGATATCCGGCAGTCTATGCTTTCCCAATCATCCTCTTCAGGTACCCTCGGCAGTTGGAATTATGACGCTGCCCGAGCCCGGAAATGCGTAATCAGGTTTATTGTTCTTAAAAACCTTCCTTTTAAATTAGTAGAAGATGATGAATTTGAAGATTTATTTAGAGATGGTTTTTATCCTGCATTTACAAAATTTTCTCGTCAAACCTGTCAACGTGATATTTTAAAATATTATGTTGAGGAACAGGGAAAAATAATTTCTTATTTTAAAAATTTAAACTGCAAATTTTCTTTAACTTCTGATATTTGGTCATCTAGAGTGCAAACTGGTTATTTATGTATAACAGCACACTGGATTGATGAAAGTTGGAAAATGTTTAAAAGAGTTGTTTCTTTTATTGCAATTGAAGAGTCACACACTGGTATTAATGTTGCAAATTTAATTGTTGAAGAACTTATGAAACTAGAAATTGATCAAAGAATATTTACTCTTTCACTAGATAATGCAAGTAATAATAATGTAGCTGTTGATTTTCTGAAAATAACTTTGTCATTGCCATGTCATGGTGAGCTTTTTCATGTTAGATGTATCTGTCATATTTTAAATTTAATTGTTCAAAGTGCATTTTCTGAAATTAAACCCATGATAGAAAAAGTTAGAACAGTTACTAATATGCATAATGCTTCTGAAATGAGAATTAAAAGATGGAAACAATGTTGTAAAAGAAAAAATTATAAGCCTAGACTAATTCCAAAAGATGTTGACCATAGGTGGAATTCCACCTATGCAATGTTATCTGTAGCAATAGAATATAAAGAAATTATAAATGATTTTATAAATTTTTATGCTTCTAGTTCTAGCTCTGGTAGTGCTTATGGAATAACTGAAGATGAATGGACAGTTATATGTAAATTAAATGAGATGTTACAAGTTTTTTATGATGCTACTATGTTATTATCTGGTTGTTATTATCCAACTATTACTTTAGCTGCTTTACAAATTTTAAATATTCAAAAAAATTTTACAAAATATCGTATGGATGATATTTTTGGAAGTATAATTTTTGAAATGGAGAGTAAATTTAATAAGTATTTTAGGCCTATTCCTCATATTTTTGGTATTGGTGTTCTTATTGATCCATGCTTGAAGGAAATTGGCCTTCGAAGTTTGTTACAATCATTGTATGGTGGACAGATTATAGACTTAGATGATGGATCCACCCTTACTGCTACTACTCATTATTTAGCTATTAGAAATTATTTTCAAACCTTATATGATGAGTATGCAGCTAGATATGGTGTAGCTACACAACAGTCTTCAGCTTCGGCACCTTCAGCTTCGAGCACAGGTCGAGGTAAAAGTGTAAGTTTTGATAGGTATGCAATGGTAGCTGAACTAACTGGTGGATCTGGAACTTCATCAGGATTAGATGTTTCTGAAATAGATGAATATTTTTCTGCTTCTTTAGTTAGATGTCAAGGAAATGCTTTAGATATTTTGCAATGGTGGAAAGTATATGGATCAGTTTCATATCCTATACTTTCCACCATGGTTCGTGACTTACTATCAGTGCAGGTTTCGACTGTAGCCTCGGAATCCGCTTTCAGCACAGCAGGACGTTTGATCGACGACCACAGGACATGCTTAGATCCGTATACTGTACAAGCGGTGATGTGCTTACAGGATTGGTGGAGATACGAGAAGCGAACACAAGGCATCGAACGGATTGCTATGATTGAAGATAAATTTGAAGAGTTGGGACTAGCAGATAGATATAATGATTAGATAATATTCATAAAATTGTAATTTTGTTTTCTTAGCTTTAAATTTGAATTAAATTATTTCGAAAAAAGTTGCAAATGATAGTGATATGGGTGAGTAGGTGCCAACCTAGTTGGGATGTACTCATCTATTGTGATGCGACGAATTTCGAAATAAATTTATACTTGTAAAGGATTTGTAAAGGATTTACCGATTATTAATAAAGAAGTTATTTTTATCATTTTTTGTACTTGTAATTTATGTCATTTCATTTCAAGCTATTAATTAAATTTATGACATTTTTTATAATAATTTATGGTTTATGGTTTTGTTAAAATTTAAAAAAAAAACAAAAAAAATTCTAAAAAAAATCAAACCGGGCCGGCCCGGTGTCCGGCCCGCTCAGGCCCGGGCCCGGGCCCGGGTCCGGGCTTGGGTTTTGCCCGGCCCGGGCCCGGTTTTCTGGGCCGGGCCGGGCCGGGCCGGCCCGGATGGACAGCCCTAATAAGAGAGGACAATATGCCATTGAATAAATTCACAAAGGAGTATAGGATGATATGATTTAAAAAAAGTCTTCTTCGTTTTTTTTTTCTTACGGCGAATAGAAACGAACGGTCTATCAATAATCAATCGCTACAATGCTTGTTTTATTTATATCCAGATTGATAAGGGGAATCTTCAATCGTTTTAGACTTTATAAAGTTTCAAAAAAAATTATATTCTTTTTTTTTAATCGATGATGATGTGAAACAATAATTTTTTTCACATCATGCATATCATGTGGATTTTTCTCAAATCCAAGGGTAGTAATATTGTTGAAAATAGTTTACATCTCAGGGCTTTGGTACTGAATAATTAATCCTAGAGTTATCAATATTATCCCAATTTAGTGATCACCATGAGGATGTTAGCTATCAAATATTAAATTTGTTGAAAGGAACAGGATAACGCCTAAGCAACGTGGAAGCATATTTGATATCTCCGAGTCAATGAGTGATGGAGTCAGATGCTTAGCATAAACTAATCTCACTAGTAGAAAAACGATCAACCTAGACGGAAATTTCCGTCTAGGTTGATTGAAATTCCGTCTAGATTAGGGCATCTAGACGGAATTCCGTCTAGTTTGAGTGGTTTATTTTGCTTCCGTCTAGATTGATACAAACTAGACGGAATTCCGTCTAGGTTGATCAATCTAGACGGAAGTCAACCTAGACGGAATAAAGAATTCCGTCTACATTATGAATCACAACTAATTTGAAACGCCAGTGTGAACCATCCTGACCGTTTCTAATCACAGTGGAGACATGAGGGCCATGTGTTACATATTAATTTTTGGATAAGATTTGGTTCCTCAATTAATTTATTTGTGAGGGTCGGGGTCCTTTTTAGGTCCCCAGTAATTGAATGCCCTAAAGTTTAAATGTAGTCTACATATGCTAATAATGTGAGCCAGTATGCGGTTAGGAAATCAATTCATTATATTACTCTCCTAAAAAATTTAATAACTGAAATGAATTCAGGATTTTGAAATTAATTTTTTACATTCGCAATTATTAAATCACGAAAGTTTTAATCAAGATCGTAAGAAAACCGTGTAGATATTGAGTGAACTGGAAATTTTATGCTGTTTTATGAAATAAGGCAAAACTCGCCAATAGCTTCTTAAAAGTAAACCTTTTTGCAAGATGAAAAAGTTTGAGAAGTCAAAATAGAACGCGCAGATATAAGATTTGAATGAGAATGATCCGGGAAGAAGGGTCTGTTTGGTTGTATGTTTTTACCATGTAAAAGGATGGAAAGTGTAAAACGTGGGTTCCAATGCCAGCTTTCATCATTTTATATTGTTTGTTTAAATTCTTTTTTACATGAAAAGCTTACATCTTTTGATGAGGTGTCACCGAAAGAAAAAAATCATCAAAATTAGGAGTAGTTTTGTTGGAAAGCTAACACAATGTCATAAATGTGTCCAAAAAATAATAAAAAAGTTAAAACCTTGTAGAAAGTTGTGAGGTGGATAACCACTTCTATTTTGTGTTATAAATACTCTAGTTTACATTATACTATCCAAACAATGTGATACTGTTATTTTAGGATTCACAAAGATTCATAACCAAACAATGTAAACACTCGAATAGAAAGTGGTGAGGTGGATAACAACTTTCTATTTTGTGTCATAAATACTCTAGTTTTCTAAAGGCATCCAAACAACCCGCGAAAGGTAATAATAGATAGCTCATGTCATGTACACATAACATAAAATATTTAGACATATCTCTACTTGTAATGATATCATTTATATCAAAGTTGTCTTAAAATAAAATGCTTGTGAGCTAAGTTTCTAGCTAATCCCTAGCTCGTGTGAAATAAAATATAGCTTAGGTGTGATGAAATGTTATTCAAACGTATGTCTCATTCCGTGTGTCATTATAAATTTATAAGCATTCAATCTTATCTACACACAGTCTGCGGATTTTTGCTGCTGGCCAGAAACTTATATTTCATAATTCATAAAGTCACCACACCAATATCAATATAGCATATAAGCTAAGATGCTCGTGAATAATGCACGTTGTCGTCGGACAAAAATCAAAATAACGTTCATATAATACGTTATTTGTGAAGGGTGTAACTGCAAATGTGAAAGTAAAAAAAGAACAAAAGAGCGAAGATACGGATAGCGTGTAGGTCTGTCAATATCATCAGAGCGCACGTGAACGCTGCGCCCTTTTTTCTTTGTCTCTCTTCCGAGTGGGTGTCGTGGGGATTCCGCAACACGTGGAAACGGTTACTGTGCCACGTGCGCAATGCGGCGACAGAGTGAGCTGGCGAACTTAATTCAGTCGTCTCTCTGATTATCTGACACGGACAATACTCAAAAAGAAAATATTTCGTTTTATTTATTTATTTTATTTTTTTTGAAAATAAGCCCTTACATTTCTTGGAACTAGTTTTCGTGGACGTGCACGTGCAATGCACGTGGATAAATATTAAAAAAAAAATTTAAATTTTTTTACTATAAAATAAGTGAGATTCATTTTGAGTTAAAATTTATAAACATGGATTATTACATTTGCCATAAGTTATATTTAAATATTTTAAAAAAATTATGAAATAGATGATTAATTTTAAAATTTTCTTGGGGTCTGGAATAAACAACTAACAAGTTTGCAGTGGAGGTAGGGGAACGTAGTGCATTCTTAGGAATTATTAATCTTTACTTAGTTTGTTTATAATGATAGGATTTCATTATTAACTAATTACAAGACCTAGTGTATTATTATTTTTTTGTTGGACGTTTAAGGCAGGCAGAGGACCCATGTGAATCCTCATCGCAATGAATGTTATACAATTTAACTATAAAGGAAAAAAGAAGGGTTAATCAATGGTGTAGTTGATGAAGGGAAACTCCATCTGTTTAATTTGGTATGTGAATATATAATAGATGGAGATGGAGAATGGTGGTTTTGAAAATAGTGGGTACGTGCGGGGTAATTAATATGGTTTTTATTTGTGTGGTTTTCTTCGTTCATTTTTAAGATATCTGTGGTCCTGTGGATATATACAGTTATAGCATTACTACTCTCTTTTGGTTTCATGAAAGAGTTTGGGTGTTAAAAAAATTAAAGTATCTAAGCTCATACTTGAAATTTATTTTAACCAACACTCATGTTTAAATATTACAATTGGCATTGAGATCTAAAATATGTGTGAAATTCTCTTTGATTTTTATACAAACAATATCTATTTAAATAATAATAGTATAATTAAAATTTGTGATCTGAAAAAAAAGATTAAATATACGATATAAGTAATTGCTTTAAAATAATCTAATCTAGTCTAATAAGAAGAAAATAGATGAAAACGATGTAAAAATTATTGTAATTTCATAATTCATAATTTTTAAACAATCTAATCTAATCTAATAAGAAGAAAATAACAAAGGCACATACTTATTGAAGGAGATAAAAGTGCTATAAAAATTATTATAATTTCTGACCTGAAAAAATATCAAACATACAATATAATTAATTGCTTTAAAATAATCTAAACTAATCTAATAAGAAGGAAATAGATGAAAGTGTTGTGAAAATTATTGATATTTCTTGTTAAAAAAAGATCAATTATACAATATAATTAATTACTTTAAAATAATATAATCTAATCTAATAAGAAGAAAATAACAAAGGCTTATACATGTAGGAGGAGATGAAAAGTGTTACAGAAATTATTGTAGTTTTTTGTCTTATAAACATTGGTATGTGATGTTGCATGTGAAATGATAACAATTGTAGATGTAGTTTTATTTAAATAATAATAGTATAATTAAACTTTGAAACTAATTATGCAGAACCGTGAGCTACTTGAATTTTAGTTAGTGAGAGATCGTCACGTTGTGTCCTCATATCGCAGCCTTTTGCCTTAATTTTTCTTTTTTATAATTTTCAGAACGATTTTGTCTATTTAATTTGTTTGGTGGATTTATGAGATCCCCCGTCCATATTATGTGCATTTGTAGGTTTGTGTTGTTTCGGGGTTCGACCTCTGGGGCAAACATTATTTGTCTCACTAATTTGTTTGTTTTACATATACGTCATTCATCTTGTATACATGCATTTGTAAATTTAGCATTTAATAATTTCATTCAGATTTATATTTCAATTTAATTATATTCTTATCTTCATATTATGTATATCCAATAAAAATTCATCAATTTATCAATTTACTCTTACTTATTAATGGATTTGTATTTGAATTTCAAAAATATTTTTATGATTTATGAGATCCCCCGTTGTCGCTTATTTATTTATTGTGGGAATGAAAAAAAACTTAGAGTGCTGCTACGGGGACCCAAAATATGAGACCAATGGAGGGGGCAGGTGATGTGTTCCCTTCCTATTAACTCATTATTCCCCTCCATTGGTCCCATATTTTTGATCCTTAAATTATTTTCCAAAAACTTAAAACATAATTGAAAACATTTTCAAACAAGCGCGACTCATTGTGGGAATGAAAAAAACTTATAAAATAATTGAAAAAAATTTCGTACAAGCGCGACTCCGCTGGGGATCGAACCCAGAATCTCTGGTTCCGTAGACCAGCGCCTTATCCATTGGGCCACGGAGTCCTGTTTGCTATCTTTTTAATCTTTATTTATTTTAGTAAAGAAAAATCTCCGCAGTTTCCACGAGTTCTGCCGTGAACACGAAATAAAACATATGCAAACTAGAGGTCTGGCTCATACAGAATGTTATACACTATCGAGGACCACCACTGCATAGCAGGAAAACCAGATATCTTCCGAAACAGGAAATTCACTTCACAAAAACCAAAAAAGTTCACACTTGTTTGCAATTCGCAATGCTCTCATCATCAAGAAGCAAATAAAGTCTATCAGAAATCAGAAGCGAAATACCTAAGGGGGAGAAACAAAAAGAAAGAAAGGCAACCGAAGGAGCTAACAAACATCATTATACAGCACAAACAAATTTCTTTTTTCACCAAGACTTGGTATCAGTAGGATACTTGGTATCCTCTATACAGTATGATCTTCTACTCACTGATTCTACACATACAAACCAGCAGATGTCTAGTCAAATTAGCTTCAGTCTTGTGCATGTGCGTGCCAAACATTTCCAGATAAAACTGAGTCCCCCGATTCATTTTCTACATACTACGTAACTTTCACCAAACTCGCTCTCACATGACTCCCCGGTCCCAAAATGCCTTCAGCCTTCAAATGTTCCCAGACACCTTCAGGATTCTGTAGAAGGTGCATCAGCATTCTGAAACTCAACATATTCGCCAGTTTGCTCGTTGAATGAGTACCTGCAACCAGAAAAGAAAAATATATGACCATCATTCCATCAACAATCCGATTGTAGCGGTTGATGATTTCGAATAAGCAATTATCTTCTATTCAACATTTACATTTTCAAAAAATTGGTTATCCAAAATATCTAAAATTTAATGCCATATTAAACAAAATAAGCAATTATCTTCTTTTCAACATTTACATTTTCAAAAAATTGGTTATGCAAAATATCTAAAATTTAATGCCATATTGAACAACGTACTGTTGGGTTTCAAATAACTAATGCATTTGTTCTTCCAACTAATATACTTACTCTTCCAACTACACCTCCTGTGTGTATTCTCTTCCTGTGCCAGTGCCTGCCCATTTTAGTGTTTCATCTTTTCTCAATATCAGCATAGATAGCCAAACTAACAATCCGATAATTATAATCAGATAAATTACTAATTGACTTGATGACCTGCCTCTTAACTTTCTCATTCTTAACCACATCGAAACAGAGATCTTTCTAGATGCTAAAACTTCATGGCCATCTGAAACCTTGGATCACAATTTACACACAACTCTATTTTTAAAGGGTCAATAAAAGATTTTGAGTAACTTTCACAAATAGATAACATCAGGGGTGGTGCTCAGTACCATGCAAGGCAGCCTGATGAAATAGGTCTTACCATCATCTCAAAGGCCAGTTAACAGATGGGAAATCCTACAGTCACGGGGTTCTTGGGGACATACAGATACAATATAGAATAGGAAAAAATTTCAATATAGACCGATTTTGCTAAATATTTAGCAAAATCGATCATTTTGCTAAATATTTAGCAAAATCGACCTCTTTTTGGCCAAAAGAGGTCGATTTTAAAAAACGCCCAGCTGAAAACATACGGGACTACTAGTCCCGTATGTTTTAAAGGGCACTAATCTCCCAGAAAACCCGTATGTTTTCTGGGAGGTGTTTTTTAAAATCGACCTCTTTTGGCCAACAGGCCAAAAAGAGGTCGATTTTGCTAAATATTTAGCAAAATCGGTCTATTTAAAAAAAAATCCTATAGAATAATGATAACTACACTGCTCTCTCCTACACTACTTCTACACTACAAGAAAGAGAAGTGCGAGGTCTCTTGATGATGAGTCATCAATTTTGAAAAAAAGTTGAAAAGAATGGACCCACACTACTCTCTCTTGTAATATTAGTGTAGTAGTAATAGTGTAGTTATCACTACCCTACAATATAATCACTAGCAGTCCAGCACCAAAGAAAAGCCTTTCTAAGATCATTCAAGATCCAAGAATGTATGCCACCTCATTATAATGACAAAGTCCAAAGAGTGCGACTGAAGGAGAAACACATGATACTTTAATGTTGGGAATTGGCTCGTCCATGAGTCTCAAGCCAGTGACCAACTGACACATTGCTTTTTGCTGTAACTCATAAAACCTGACCTACCCAAAAATAAGTAAGGTTCCCAACTGCAACATCTAACTCTGCAATATTCCAATTAAGCCTGATTTACGTTCTGATTCAGATCTTAGTCCCAATCAGAGGAGCAGTAACCAGAAGTTCTAAAAAATAATTTACATTACGGACACTTTTCTTAATTCATGTGCTAAATGAAACTGAACTTTAAAATGCAGATCTCAGTAAGAAAAAATATATATGCATGAGCTACAGACTTATCATATCAACTATCAAGTGATTGACCAAAAAATATCAAGTGTACGGTAAATATTAAAGGAGAACAAACTATATAGTGACATGAAAGGATGCAGCAATAATACCATTTTCCTGAAGTGGCACAGCAGTAAAGTTTTGACGTTGGATCATAATAATAACCCAGGCCACTGCTATAGTAATACCTGCAAGAAGCAAACAATATAGATATATAATCCGAACAACAAAAAGATCACCACAGGACACTATTCCAAAAATGTAATTCAGAAATTGACCATTTACGCATCAAGCAAAAAAGTTTTACTGATGCAAAAAGATTGCGTAACCAAAAATAATATGTAAATTTCAGCCATGAAATAGGAAAAAGGTCCAGAATAATGTAAAGATCTTTCTAATATGGCCATCAGACATTCTGGCACTCCAATTCAGATATCGTATTGTTAGTATTAATAGCTAAAAACCCTAAAAATATTTGAACAATATGAACCTTTTAGGCAATAAAAAATGTTTTAAATTTTCTTTAGGCGACAAGAAATGTTTTAAATTTTCTTATGGAAAATGATTAGGATGAGATTAGGTCCATATTTAGAGTTAGTGACTACAGCAGTTGAAGCGATATCTCGATATCACATTCAAAAAATATTCCATTTTGCATGAATAATAAGATACATTACATTTTGGAAGCATCAATATGAGGACTGCTGCTCACTAATTACTGAACAGTGAACAGATAGTGTATTCTCA